CCCGCGCCGCCCGGCTGCGCCCCCAACGCCTCGCTCGGTGAGCGGGGACCGAGCGGGGCCGGAGAGGTTTGGGAGCAGGGTCTGGGAATGGAATCAGCTGAGGAGAGGGGCCGGAGCGGGGCTGGAGGGGGCCGGGATTGTGATCAGAGCAGGACGGGAGCGGATGGGAGCGGTGTGAGAACAGGGTCGATGGGGCAGCAGGGCCGGGACATGGACTGGGGAGGGAGCGGTGTGGGAGGGGGCCGGGATCGTGACCGAAGCGAGCGGTGAGGGTGCGGTATGAGGATGGGGTGCGAATGGGAGCCGAGTCCGTGCGGGAGCGGGGCGGAGAGACGGTGTGGGGTGGGGAGCAGGGCGCGAACGGGAGTCAGGGAGCAGTATCTGCGCTCGCCGGCGGCAGTAGGTTCCCAACGGCACACGAGGTCTGTCGCGCTGCGGGACCTGCCCGCGCTTTCGACGGCTCCGATGGTCTGTACAGGGCAATGGCTCCAGGGACTTTCCATCGGCTGGAAGTACCACGACGGGAAGATCTACTACTTCTCCAGTGACCGCAAGGTCTGGCAGGACGCCGAGAATTTCTGTTTGTCGAAAAAATCCCACCTGGTCTCGGTGACCAGTGCGGCCGAGCAGGTGGGAGCTGCGGTCGCAGCGCCGTCACTGTCTTCCATCGGGCCACCTCCCTGAACCGGGGCCGGGGACCTCGTCCTGCCTTCTGGCTTAGAGGGGACCCAACCCAGGCAGCTGACCGGGAAGCGCCGGTGCTGCCCTGGAACCCCTCCTGCCCGAGTGCCTGCCCGGGCATTGCCTGGGGCCGCCCCATTGCCCCGGGGGTCCCGAGCACGTCGTCCCGCTGCCTGGCGCTTCTGTTGCCTCCCTTCCCTGCCGCATGCCTTGCTCTCCCTCCTGCTGCAGGATTACCTGGCCCGGGAAACGGGGAAGGGGTTTTACTGGATTGGCCTCACCGACATCGAGAAGGAAGGGACCTGGCGCTGGGTGGACGGTACCGAGTACCGCCAGGACGCAAGGTGAACGAGCATGGGGGAGCGCAGGGCTGGAGGGTGTCACCGGAGTAACCGGAGCGGCCAGGAGGGACAAGGCTCCCCGAGCCCGGCGCTGCCGGGTCCAGGCGGTCCCCGTGAGCCACAACTGGTCCCTCCACTCCAGCTTCTGGGCTCCGGGACAGCCGGACAACACGGACTATGGGCCCAGTGGGCGAGAGGAGTGCGCGCAGATTCACCCGGTGGGAAACGGCCTCTGGAATGACCATAATTGCAACATCTCCTTCCCCTGGATCTGCAAGAGGCGCCTGGATGCGAACGGGATCTGACAGGGTGACCCTGGCCCCCATCCCGCTCCGCGCCGAGTCCCGCCCGCCCCCTAGCAGCCGCCCCGCCCCC